GTACAGGAATTGAAATTCTTCGTGCGCACAATCAAATTAACAATAATACTATTCGTACCTTTAGTCACAGTGGTTGGTAAATTCTTCATTTAAAAACAGCATGTCTTTGAGTTGTGTAATTAATCTGGGCACCGTAGTAAAGCGATTTTTTAAAACGCAACAAGAATTTAAGCCCGACATTTCATATACCCGTTATGAAGTTCCTCCATAAACAAGCATAAATGATAAGTTAAAATATATATAAGCGACTTTGAAAAATGAGGGCAAATGGGCGGTGAACGTACTTCAAGGATTCAGAGCTAGCAAAACATATCCATACACTTGCCTTATGTTTACACTATGATGTCTTATAGGGAATTTTAACTTTTTTATAGGGCAGCTAAAACTTGCACCTTCTTAGCGTTACCAACATGATAAGTGAACTCTGTTACCCTTTACGTCAACTTGTTACCTTATAATTAGTCAATAGACGATCTGTAGTGTATGTTAACTTCGCCCTCTTCCAAATACAATAGACGAAGATTGAAGCGCTTTTAGGCAACAATTACCCCTTAGTTCTGTCAAAAAAAAGGTTAAGTAAATACTAGTTCAATCCTGTACATGAACCGCAAAAATTTACGTGTCCAAAAGATAAGCAAAGAATCACAGATTATCCGGGCAAGATCCGTACTATACCTACCTTGGACAAAATAATGTTTGAAGCACTGTGACTTTAAACTGATTAATAGAAACTTACAAATCCACGAGAGCTCGCAGGCTACAAGGAAGTATCAGTTCTTTGCATGATTATAAACGTACAGTTCAGGCCATCTTAACTTATTTGCGTTGTTCCCTAAAAGCCGTGTACATAACAGGAAGTCGTTAACCGCATAAAAAAAATAGCAGCGACGGAGATTACCCGCTGCAAATGACAAATAACCGTATGCGTGCATATATATTATAACATATTATGAATACTTACTTTGAATTTCATCCTCCGGCGATCTAACCAACTTTTGTTACGTTATTTGACAACATTGTTTCCGTTGAGATTGTATTGAGGTCACTAAAAGCTGAATCAGCGGAAATGAAATATCTTTCCCTTTTGTTTGCGCATTAATAACTTCCAAGTCAGAGTGAACAAAAAACAGTTTTAAAAAATTGTACACTAAACAACACAATCATATTCAGCCTCATTTCAAGGCCGCATCCGTTGTTTATAGTTATACTTCTAATAACAATAATGGAAGAAAACAGTCAAGCACGCAGTGCATATGGAAATAGTTCAGTTCTATCAATAAGCAAATAGGATCTGCTGCAGTCTTCGTATTTAACTGTTTTGTTCTCTTCAATTTCTTTTTCTTCTCATTGTGAATGGCAATGAAGATGACGAAGGATACAATAAAGATGATGTATACCAAATGTAAATACGCATTTTTATGAAATGCTATTTACTGTTTGCTTCCGGCGATCCCAAAAATAAACTACAAAAGGAAGGTGCTCGACGGCCTTATCAAAAGGTGATATAGACGCATGAAGTCGCGCGGAGATGTTTAAAAACTCAGTAAACGTTTTAACCAATGGCAAAGCAGCAAATTAAGCACCAGAAGTCGCCTGAATTCCTTTCTGAAAACGTTGCGCTGTATTTGCTTAACATGACTGCCTATTTTCCCGGAAGAAAGGCTTGCAGAATGCAAGATGACGGATCGCTCAGAGAGGCTCATTATCATACAATACCATACTCAAGTGGTGAAAGAAAATAACGTTGAAATCGAGGATAAAATAAAAGCACAGCATACACAATTTTTTCTCTCGGAACTAGAGTTCTTTTCAGACATTTTTTAGAGCAAGTTCGCAGAGTGCGTAGGATGAATTTTCTAAATTCTGTCCTTGGAGGTTTATCCTTCGGACTTCCCGTAAACCAAAAGACCCTTCCAAGGTTTTTTTACTTGGACAAGCAAGTGAAAATCCATTAACAAGAGGTGAGAACGCCTTAATTAAATCATTAAGTTTCCAAGTTTGAAAGTGTTTTGTTGAAAACTAACGAAGATATAGCTTCAGTCAAAGTCGCCAATGCAATTTTTACTGACGATTGCATTGTGGGAACAAGTTCGTGCCCCCGCAATATGACGACACAAAGAACGGTGTGGAGCAGACTAACCACCAGGCAAACGTCTGTAAAATTTCGCAAAGACTCAAGATGCGTCACTTTCAAACATGGCGCTCTTTTCAAAGGTGTCACACTATAGAGCGACTTATCCGTCTGAGACGGACAATACATTTTAAAAATCCGTCACAATTTGGCGGATAGACAGATGGATAAAATCAGACGGATTGTTCATCCTAAATTAAAACGGTTCCATTTTCACATTAAGACGTATTATAATTAAGTCTGACGCGAATTATGTAACCGATTACACGTCTCACAGATAATCCGTCCCTGATACCCATCAAACTTAACAGTCATTTTACTGATCCCCAGTAAAAAATCGGCACCAGCAAATTGGCCGACCAACTTTAACATTAAATGAGTCTTAACTTCTGTTTTCAAGTGTTTTAAATTTCAAGATGGTAACAGCCAAACAGTCTTTTGAGAGCATCACCTTCCCGTCCCAAACCTCCTCGAATCGATCCCTGTCCCCCGGGGACCTTTATCTCTTTCTGTTACAGTTAAAGCTGCACGGTCCTGCACCAGTATTTTCCTGCTAAGTATGATTTGTTTCTCAACGTCCACTCTTTGTTGTCCAGAGAGTTATTCTAACATTGTTTGAATATCTTTTTTGTCTTTATAGTTTTCCTCATATTGAAGCTATATTCTAATTGAATAAAGCCCCGTGCAGACGGACGCAACACGGAACTTGTTTGCACGTAGCTAAAAGTTTGACCGATTTCAAACCTTGCGCAACAGCTTCCAACAACTCGCACAAAAAAGAACAGGGTGTGAAAACAAACGCAACATGTAAAATCCAAAAACAGTTGGGAGTTGTTGGCCAACAATTTTGCGTCCGTTACGTTTGCGCTGGCTTTAAAATGACTGTGTTGTACTCATCTGTATTTTAAAGCATTGCCCTGCAATGGACTTTTATATAAGATGGAAGTAAAACTAGATAAAAATTCATGACACCACCCCTACCACGTTATACACATGTAGTCGCACCACGAAAAAGAAAATGGAATCAATGTCAAACACAATATCCTTGCTCCCTGTATGCATATCAACCCCCGAGCTTCCATCTAACATCCTCCTTTTATTCTTCAGAACAAATTAGCCTTGGTAATTGTTCTCGATTCACCAACCGGTATGTTTAAAATCGTATCTACATAAGCCACCATCAACTAGCAGTTCTTGCTGTTTCCTGCAGTAAATTGCTTTCTGACCCTGTAGGATGATATAAGATCATCACATGTTAAAGAAAATTCAGTTTTGTCGTTCCCCTTGCTGTTAAAAATAGTTTGTGAACATAAGCTTAATTAATTATCGGGCATGTTAGAACTTGAATCAACGTCAACAAAAGAGATATAATTATATTCCCGATGCAGAAGGATCAACAGATATCCACAATAGATTAAAAAATCAGCATATCGTTCATGTTTAAGCCTCCATTAGGTAACTATGCATAATGTTATTTCCATTATCTACGATTACAACCAAATCTTTTTTCAAAATTATACTTGAGTCAGTCTATTTAAGCAACAGAAAACGCTTTCCGTGTTTGCATAGACTGATTATAAACACGAGAGGGGTTGGGAGAATTCGAGACAGTCGTGCAATCCCGACACGAAGTCGAGGGTCTGCGTAACAACCAATCAGAGTGCGCGTACTACCTTCAGTTATTTTATAAAACTGGCTTGTTCTTCCCTGGTGTTTTTCCGTGGGAAGAAACGAGCTGAGTTTAGATTTTTTTTTTCTACCCCGACAACAGGCCCAGTGGGAACCGGGAATCCAACCTGAGGAAACCTTTGAAAGTTATATGTGAAAAGGAAATGTTGAAATTACATAGAAAGACTAATAACATGCTGACTGTTTAATTCTAGTTTCATGTAGATCACAGGTGAGTATATTAAAATGAGGAATAGGCTACATTTGCGGAGTAAGCAATTGCCGTGAGAAATCCAAGGGATGTAAATTCATCTCCCATTTCGAAATTAATCATGTCGCAACTAGGACGGAGATGTTTTCCATTTAACCCTTTACATCTTGAAAAGCTGACAGAACCGACACCGAATAAGCAATCGGGTTGACAATTCGTTTACATAACAAAAAAGGAAGTTTAATCTTCGCATGAGTCCGGGCTAAGTGGCCGGGATTTGTTTCTAATACCTCCGGCCGAGCTTTGCCACCTTCGCTTAATGAATACACCAAAAGTGCTAAAAAGGTTGTTTGTTTCCTATTCATCCTTGAATGAAAAGGTAATGTTTCTTGAAACCGTCATCTTCGTTGAAGCGGAGGGTTTTATGGGAAAACGATCACTTTATCTGATAAAATACCCTGGCTTTAATTAAATTTTCCTTTCACAGGCAGTGATATTCCTGTCCTCCACGTAAGATCCAAGATAAACTACGGTGGTAATGCTCACCGCCCTGGAGATTTCTTCGCTTTTGTTTCCTAACACGGCGTCGTATCCTTAGTATCTGCTAAGGGCATATTGGACCACTGAACCTGATTCTTAATAGGTCGGTTTCATTTTCCAAACCTAGTTACTTGTCACTGACAAAACAAATAAGCAACACTGTTGAATTTCTTGCTACGTTCTGGCTACACAGCTGTCTCAAGGTAGTAATCAATATGGTTGTTTTTCTGTGAAACAGAATATATTAATATATGTCATTGTCACGATTGTAATATTTCGTTCAACTGAACGCAATTATTTTAAGGTATGATCCTTTAAGTTTTTTTATGACAACTGACAGAGGAACAAAAAAAATTTTTATGAGCATATATATTAATGAAAATTTCATTTTCTTTTCTTTTCTAGCTTGATCTGATGAACATAAGAGTAAGCTGAGTTAACGAGGAAAAAATGTCCCAGTTTCATTTCCTATTGTTATGGTTTTTGATGCACTGTTCGCCAGCTTCCTCCATCGACCCGAAACGATTCTACCAACCGGGCAACGTTACTCTAGGTGTCTTGCTTCCTCTTCACGTCAGAACCGCCCAGGATAAATGCGGTGAGTTTTACGCTTTCGGTCTTGGATACACCGAGGCTATAGCTTTTGCAATCGAGCGTATTAACAAGGATGCTGAGCTTCTACCAAATGTGACACTGGGCTTCGACATTCGAGACTACTGCGACACACCTGTTCTCGCCATGAAAATAGCCAATGACTTCGTGAAAAGTAATTATCTGAACGAATTGCTTGAAGAACAAGGTGATAAGAAGTTTAGGTCAAAGCTTACAATAAATATGGATTATCTAACGGAACCGATTTCTGCGGTTATTGGCACGGAAGATTCAAGTAGCACTACTCTCGTCTCGAGTTTATTGCATGTGGCTGCCATTCCAACTATAAGTCCTTTCGCTACCAGCGAAGAGTTGAGCTCACCGTATTTTAACTCCTTTTTTCGCACCATTCCACCCGATGGCCAACAAGCTAAAGCCATGGTTGACATAATAGAGTATTATCAATGGACGTATATTGCAGCCGTAGCCGTCGACCATTCCTACGGTCGATACGGCTTACGAGCGTTGGAACGAGAAGCTTATGATCGAAAAACGTTCTGCATCGCGTTTTCGGAGTACATCACTCGTTCGGGATACAAAGGAAAAATAACATCAATCGTCAGAAAACTCAAAGATGCTGAAAATATCAAAGTGGTCGTCTTATGGAGCAACTATGAACCTGCAAAAAGATTTCTGGAAGAAGCGACTGCGCAGGGGCTTGAAGGACGAACATTTCTTATTAGTGAAGCAATAGCTTTCATCAATCCAGACGTTTTGGAAAAAAACGCTGTCATACTCAAAGGAGCGATAGGAATAAGGCCTTATCTATTCACAGACCATCTGTTTGAGGATTATCTAAAGGGAATCACACTAAATAAGACCCGAGAAAGCGCCAATCCGTGGTGGAAGGAGTTTTGGACAAGCCATCTAAACTGCTCCTCAATGTCTGAAGGTGCTTGCCTTAACCCGGCAAAAATAGACGATCGAGCCTTCGCCAAACTGCACAACGCGTTCATTCCTTATCTGACAGACGCCGTCCATGCCCTTGCACACGCGCTGGACTCTTTACTGAAGTGTAAAAAGCCCGGAGGTGGACCTTTAGCGAGTGGGTACTGTCCTGAGCAAAATGCCAACTTCACAGCTGAAGCCATGCTTCTGAAACTCAGGAAAGTGAGTTTTCAAGGCATAACAGGGCAAGTGCAGTTCACCGAAAGTGGTGATCCCACTTTTTCGTCGTACGATATCGTGAACTTTCAGAAACAGGCGGAGAATTATGAAAATGTTAAGGTGGGGACATGGACAGGGGGAACTCGTACCAACCTCACAATCAACGACAAACAAATAAAATGGACTAATGAAGAAAGTGAGCCTCCCATATCCACGTGCAGCCACCGTTGTCCTCCGGGAACTAAGCAGACGATCACTGTGTCCTGTTGCTGGGAATGCATTAAGTGTCCCGTGGGCTCCATCAGTAAACAGCATAGCTCTCCCAACTGTACAAAGTGCCCACAACTGCATAAATCAAACGGGGACGGTACAGCATGCCTGCCTTTGCCAGTTATCAACATCAAGTGGTCAGATGTTACTGCAGTGGTATTTTTAATCCTAACGGTTATTGGATTGCTTGCAACAGGCATGACCATCTTTGTTTTTATAAAGAACCAGAGTACACCATTGGTGAGCGTATCCAATCGCGAACTTAGCCTTCTTTTGCTTGTCGCAATCGCTTTGTGTTTTGTTCTCACCTTCCTCCATCTTGCTCAGCCAACAAAGACGTTATGTTGTATTATTTATCCCCTAAGGTACTTTATTAATACGACTTTTGTTTCCATCCTCTTCTTGAAGACAAACCGTTTGGTCCGCGCTTTTCAGACCAACATCATTCCAAACTGGTTCAAGCGATACATCGTGGATCGCAAACGTCAATTTCTTGTGGTCCTGGGACTCAACATAGTTGAAGTTATTCTGGCAGTGTTGTGGCTAACTCTTGATCCACCTTACGAGCACCAGGAGATACGAGTACAGACACACGTGTTTTACACCTGTATGCCATTCAGATCAGCTATCGGAAGTGTCCTTAGGGCAACCATGTTTAGCTATTTCATTTTGCTGTCTCTAGTGTGCGCTGGTTACGCCTTTAAAGCCAGGCGACTTCCGGAGAACTTTAACGAAACGAGATACATCGGGTTGGCGATGTACGTGCTCCTGATTTCCTGGGTGTCATTTTACCCGGTGGACACGTCCCTGGAGGGTTTTTACACAACCATTGTGGCCTGCGCCACCGCCCTCGTCACTGCATATGGAATTCTTTTGTGCGTTTTCGCGCCAAAACTATTTGTCATCCTGCTTCATCCAGAGCAAAACACAAACGAGTTTATGAAAGCTGAAATTGGACAGTTCACGAAGAGGGCTACGTTTTCAACAAGAATCCAACAAGCGAAGGTTCAGCCCACAAACGCGATTAAAAACAATTACACTTAGCTAGACAGTACATCGCAAACTAGACAGTTACCAGATCAGAACTAAACAAGAACGCTCTTAGTAGAGTTGAGTCTCGCTTGATTGGAGCCCATGGGGCTTGGAGATAAGTTTTGTTGTCAAAGGCGCTGGTGCTGTTATGCTATTTTTTCGTTTTGAATACAAAATGTCGGAGTGTTATATGTCATAATAATGTAAATACTCAAAACGTAAAAATTACAAAAAGAGACAGGCCGCGCATCTTAGCTTCACACCAGTGTGAAAATTTTTGAAAACTTTGTACAAAGTGATATTGCTCCAGTGAGGAGCGCTCTTTCAGGGATTTTACACTCAAAATATTTAACGATGATTTTTATTAGTAGAAATACAGCTGTTTGCAAAAATTTTGAACCTCCCAGATATATAAACATATATTGACGTGATCTGTTAATATGGTGAGGTGTAATTTACCCATTGGCAAATATTGTTTTCTTTTGATATAAGAATACATGCATGATGATGCAGTTGCAGGCAGCTGTGAATTTCTCCTGTGTAAGTTATAGCAGAACCTGACATTGCATGCAGACAGTTAATTCAGTTCGCGCGTATTCCTGTTGAATTTTGTTGTCCGTTTTATAAGATATCAAAATCGCGTGAAAGTAATTACATTTTCCATAGCTGCTAAACATCTGCTTTTGATATCTCCGTGCAGTTGATAATCGATGTTTACGCGATCCCAGATTACAATTTTTAGAGCTGTACACAACATGCATTTTATCATAGTATCGCTGGGATAAAGCGTTCCATTTTCCAGGAAAATTTCAGTTTCTGGTCAAAAAAATCACTGACTCAGTCAGACTCGGAGTAGTTTACTTAAATTTAGTGCCCAGTACAGCGAACGGGGTTATATTCCGTGAAATTTATCTACAGTCTGCGGCCCACAATGACATCACCACGATCGACGATTTATTTTAAATTGATTTTATGTCAAGTTTTTCTAATTGATCGATCCTCGATGCTAGTTTTCCAGTAAACCTCGAAATTTTGCTCATTAAAATTGTTCTTTTTTTTGTTTTGACCACTGACGTAATATCTTGCTCTAAAGTAATCAACGCTTTCCAGCGATAGAATTCGTGGATCGACCCGTTCCGGAAAAGCTCGATATGGGATGATGTCCTATGGACATGGATCGACATGAACTACTGCAAGTAGAGTGCGTGATGGTCAAGTACTAAGCTACCCTTATAAACACATCCGTGACATATACGTAACGTCAGACAGGTAGTTGAAGTTTCTTCCAGTAGTAGTCGAAGGTTAACTGAATCATTGATATCTCAAGTTCTTATAAAGTGCAACGCGACGTCACAGCTTAACAACTACGAAAATCGATCAATTAAATACATTCAACAAACTGAATTTTTTTAACCGTAGATTTCCAGTAATTGTGACAATATTCTGAGAAACGTATCGCCTCCATACACCACAAAACAGGATTTTTCCGATGTAATATTTCCATATCGAGTTATTTACTTTTTAATAGGCGTGCATAATTAAACGAAAATCAACGGCCTCGAATCGGGGAAAATTTGAGTCGAAAAAGGTAAAAACGTGATCAAATTACATGCCAATTACTTCATTTCAGTCATCGCCGAAAATAAACCACATGATCATCGAAAGACTCATCTGCATACAACAAAAGTCGTCACGATTCTTATCCCCAGTTTCCACGGTCTCAGGAACCATTTGGGGAAAAACCGACGAAAAAAACGCCTGCATGTTTAGAGTCTCGCTCTGCTAAAGCAAGCTCGACCAATCAATTTCGCTACGTAACTTTATACTGAAAGGTACAAACAAGTGACAGTTACTTCGAGGTGAAAATACTCCTCCTCATAGGAAACACCCTTTCAAATTTCTGGCACCCAAATTGTGGAATGTTAGTGTTAAATGAAGACTTAAAGAAGCTGTGTCATGAAATTCATGACAATTCAAACAGCGAGACTGACTACCACCGAATTTACACTGAGTGAAACATAAAAATAACCGCTCAAAACAATGGGTGAGAACAGAACATAAGGTATAACACAGCAAATACCAAAGGTCAAGCATGGATGTACAAACTTTCGCTTATGCTTTTTAACAACTCGTTAGCCTAAAAGTTCATTTTTGGTTTTCTTGTAGAAATAGTGCTTGGGAGACATATCTGTCTGACACGATGTTGTCATTTTGCCATTTACAACGGTAATTTATAAAGTTCCATTAATAGCAAATAAGGATGCTTAATTGCCATTATTATTACCACGCACGAGCTTGGTCTACTTTAGAAATTCATAGCGAAATTTATTGAAACATTTTGTAAATTAATTAATCTAATTATTCGTCTCAAATTTATACTTAATTGTACTTTAGTTTTAAATTTTGATGACTTAAACAATTTTCTTCTTTTTTCTCGCAAACAGGTGATTCTACTCTTGGATACTAGTTTTAAAATGTTTTTTCCTGGATCGAGCATATCAGCTACCAACATTAGGTCCCAAAGTTTAGAAAACTGATGTTAGCAGCTAATCAAACGGAGATAGCCACACCAAACACAAAAATAGAATAGGAAAGCCGAAGCAAAGAGTTCTAAACCCCTTCTATTCTCACGTCGACTCCATATTTCTTGATCAGAGTGACACCAGCAAGAATTTCCAAAGGTACCTGGGTCTCGGGTGAAAGTTCAAACTTGTACTTCATCAAGAATTTAACAAAGCAATCTTGATCTCCACGAAGCAAATCTCATTCCAATGCAGGACCTTGGCCCTAAACCGAATGGCAAAACCTGATATGGGAGACGAGTGTCTTTGGCGGGGCTTTGGGATCTCTCGGGATCAGTTCTGGGTCGGGTCAGACATCATTACTCTAAGTTTCGTAACCTGCGAAAAGAAAGATCTGACACCGGTTATTTATTGTTCATCGGTGAGTTTGGATGATCCCTTTTCAGCTGAATCCTCGTTCGCTGTCAGCATCAAATGCATTAAATCCAGTTGTCTTCCTGTTGGCCCAGTTTTTCTCCTTTGTTGTAAGATCTCTGAGGCGATCTTTTTGAAGTTAAGCTTGGAATGCGCATGATTTGTGCCAGAATCCTCAAAAGATATATTCCAAAAGGAAGCCGTCTCAAAATGTCCATTATCTAAGGAGTGCGAAAAACCTCCTTCACGTTTTTAAATTTGTCTTTTGGAATGTCGTTTCGAAACCAAGCGCGGTGGAGAGTATAACTTCCAGCGTCATTCTACTGAAGGAGTCTAACATGTCTACATAATCGGTTATAAAAGTACTGATTAGAATGGTCTGCCGCTTCAACGGATAGATAAGAGCCAACATCATATGTCCAAGTTGAGTTGGGTCAACTAAGTTGACTAACAAAATTACAGTTCTTTGATACAGATTTTAGTGCGCGATGGAGGGTTTATATTAAAGCAGTTACTTAACATATGAAAACTCATCTCATGCTAAACTATAATCCCTTAAACATTTTCAGAAGACTTGGCTCCCGTGCTCCTGTGCTTAAACAGTTCTGAATCGTAGAGGAAAAAGTAAGGGGAGATATAAAATTGAGC